GTGATCATCGATCCCCCGACGACGCAGACCCAATCTCGCATGCTGCATGAAGACGCTGCGATCTTTGCGTACCAGGCAAGCCAACATCCTGTACTACAGGGATGCGTGGCGAAAGAAGGACCTCGGTCACACAAGTTTCACCGTCCACAGTCGACGCGACGCCCGCTTGCGACGGCCCTACCATGCGACGCGGTGCGGCCGAGGCCCTGAAGCCCAAATTGCGGAATGAGCAGTGCTCAAAGCTTCTACAATTCTCTCATAAAAGCACTGCGTTTCGCATTTGTCGTGCTCGCTTTTACACTTGTTTTTGCACGACTGAACGTTTGCGCCGAAATGGGACATTCTCCGAGTGCCACGTCATATAAATCGATTGTTTTTTGCGACCTCTGACATACGAGGACGCATTAATACCATCGCACGCGTTGTGATACTAGATCACTGCGAGTGCAAAAGCCAGAGCATTGTGAGCTACAAGCCTTTCCAAACGCTCCACAGAATGTGCTGGACGTCGAAACTCCATGAATGTTGCTAGGAATCGCAATCTTGATCCACTGGAAGGGGAGATCGTCGCTACAAGTGCAGACGACACCTACGGCGTGCAAATGCAGTCGTTTGCATTTTTAACGTTTTAAGAGCGCTTTGTATTTGTGGTCGAGCATTGCGCGCGTTTTAGGCCTGCGACGACGACATATCGCAGTCTGCTCTGCTCTCCAAAGTTTCTTCTATCACTGTGCCAACTTTGGGCGATTCCATTCCAAACGTGATGCTGCCGGCAAGCGGCGTCGGCGTCCTGGCGTGATGCCGCTAAGATGGCACTACGATCTTAGTTTGGAGTGCGTTGTGCCTCTCAGATGGCACTACGATCTTAGTTTGGCGCGCATCTTGGATCGCGTCTCGCTATCGCTGTACGCCTCGTACGTCGATGCGACCTCGCTTTCCGTGCCCTCCATAGCGTTCTTTACCACTGTGCCAATGTTTGGCCATTTCGTTTTCGAACGTAAAGCGGTCGACCGCGTGGCCTGAGCTCGCGGATGCTGCACCGGATATCCGGATAATGTGGCTAATAACACGCAAGCTGTCGCGATTTGATGGCAAACCTCGGTAAAAATACAAAATGGCTCATACGTGGTAGAGTGATGAAGTTTGCCTTGTATAGCACGGAGCACCAAGTTGCACCGTCGTGCGTGACCTACAGCGCTCGAAACTCGTGTCCAAAGTGATGCCGAATTGCACTATTTGCGGCATTATGACGAGCTTGTACATGGCACATGCCATTTTCAAGAAAGGACACGATGACACAATCGCAGCCATGAAGGAGTCCTTTGACGCTCTCAAACTGGGCGACTTTTGCAGGGCGGTTTGAAGTACTTTCAACTGCAATGCGCGCTCTCGATACGAATTGC